GTACATCATCTAGGTACGCAATAACATCCTGTCCTAATAAAGGCTGTAGATAGGCATTAATGTTGGCCTGGAAAGTAGCTAGAGCACGCTTAAGGCCAAAGGGCATAACTCGATATTCAAGTAGCCCTAGAACGGAACGGTAAGCCGTCTTCCAGCGGTTTTCCTCAGCCATACGTATATAATGGAATCCTGCTTCAAGGTCCAAGGTGAAAAAATACTTGGCGTCTCCCAGCAACTCCAGAATGGTTTGAATGGGAGGTAATGGAAAATCAGGAGCTACCGAAAGTGCATTCAGAGCTTGGTAATTAACTATCATACGCATCTTCCGCTCCCCGGAGCCATCATCACGCTTGCCGACAATTATCGTAGGAGAGCGGATAGGCGAATATGTTGGTCTAATCCACCCATTGTCCGATAATTTAGTTATCTCCTGCTAGTGGAATGCGAGCTGATCTGGGGTCATTCGGTAAATCGCAGATTTCGCTGGAAGTTTTCCACGTACAAGGAGGATATGGTGATCATGAGGGCGCTCCGGCGGTAATCTTTTAGGTAAGTTATCGGGGAAGACCGCCCGATACTCTTTCAACACATTGGTGATCTCGAATGGAATAGCTTGTGCCTCTGTCGAGTTTATCCACTCATCGAAGAGTGTATGTTCAAGTTTGGCCGTAGGCCATGGAGAGTCTTTCTCATCCTCCGCTGTTGTCAAGGCAGTAGACGCCAAAGGACGGCTAGAACCGGAGGCTTTGGGTCGATTCCCGATCAACGGGCAGCAAAGTGCGCATTGCCACTCGTCCGTGAACCTCAGTGCCACTGACGAGCCAGCGTCGGGCTAAGCCAGGATAAAATGCAAACCATGCAATGGCTGTCTGCGTCGGCCGCCGCTTGGCGAACAAGCGACGTTATCCGTGCCTTCGCCTTAGTCTTTGCATGGGATTTATACCTTTTAGGTGGCGGCCGTAGGAATATGGCAGCCTCCTCCGCTGACATATCCGCCAGTTGCTTAGCCAAAATGTCATACGCTTGCTCTGCAGAAGTCTTTGGAGGTGCTACTATGTGACTGTCACCCTGCAGTGTCTCTTTACCCGTCCTAACGACCGGTAACTCGCACCACTGGTCGTTCATATAGGTCCGGAGCTTGTCGGACTGAAAATATCAGGCCACCTTATGTTCCATCAGCCAATCCAAACCCAAAACTAATTCATAGGGAACGGGCCCCACAAAGAAGTCCGCAGAAAAGCGTGCGTGTCCGCACCAGATCGTCAACCCCGTCACAACTCGATCATGCATAATTGTTCACCTGTAGCTACAGTGAACCTATGCTCCTCTGGAAGTCTCCGCACCCTCAGCTGCAATCGTTCGACTGTTTTAGGGCTAATGAAACTTCTCGAAGCGCCTATTTCTAAAAGCGCCTCGCATGAACTCCCTGCAAGCTCAACGCGAAGTACCGCTGTTGCACCCACGTAACGCAGTGCTCCTCCTTGGTTGCAAGATTCCTTCGCACTAGTTTCCCGCCACCAATGAGGCATAGTCTCTATCGCTTCTGGCCTGCAGTCTTCTTCTGTCGCTTCTGCAAATTTCCCGTTGCTATCTGTCTTCTCGCACGGAGCCTCTTCACTCCGCATCGGCACCGCCCCAGACTCGAACCACGTTTCCGGAGGCGGCTGAGTCCCCTGCACGTCCTCATCGCTCATTTTGCTTTTCTCTACCGCGTTCAGGAGGCGGTTCCCCCGCTCTAGGGAGACTGGAATGGCATTAGGTCCTGTCGCTACCGGACACCTCATCCCTTTTCCATGGCTACGCAGCCCAGAACGCTCGTGTCCAACCACGCATAGCCCTCGCGGTTTAGCCGTCCGGTCTTCTCAGTGCTGGGACGGATAGGTTGCCTGCTGCTCTTGCTTTCCGGCTCGGCACGGCCTCATCCGTGTGTAGGACAGTCACGAGCATAGTGTCCAACACCTCCACACTTCCTGCAGGTCTCGCCCGGGCGCGTGGTTCGTTCCCCCTTGCTGGAACAAACTCGTGCCGGGTATCCACGACCCTGACACTCTTAGCAGTTCGCGTAGTTTCCTCCAGGCCTAGTTCCATTTTCCTGCATCCGATGGGTTGCATTTGCCTCAGTAGCAGCTCTTACCGCTCGACTAGCCCTTTCTCGTAGCTATAGCACGGTCTGCTTAGGTTCGTAGAGTCGCGCTACTGCTGTCGCCACTTGTTCCCAGGAGGAATACTTCACCAGCCCATTATTTGTAATGAGAAGATGGAGGTCAGTTAGTAGCCCAGCGCAGTAGAAGTCAGCGAGTTCGTCGGGGGCGATCCCAACTCCACGCTCCGCTACAGCCGCAAACTGGTCCGTATACTCTTTAGGGTTTCCATTCCTCCGCACTTTACCCAACTCCGTTAGCAGTTGACTCTGCAACATTGTCTTGTTGAGCCGTTCCAGAAGCCGGCGCTGTACAGTCGCCCAGTCGCTTAGGTCGATAGTTCGCTGTAGATACATCCCATCAGTTAGAGCCAGACCCACAAGATGGTCGATAAGTGCGTTCCCCCACTCACTGGTCTCCAATCCCATCTGGGTGTACCGTCGTTCGGTACGCATTAAAAAGGCCTGCATAGTACTGCCGTCTTCAGGGAGTGTAGGCGACGTTACGCTCGATTCTGCAGAATCGCCTATAACATTCTTTATCACAGCCATCGCAGAGTGGAATTGGTCGCACGCGACGTACGGACCGTCCTCTGGCATGCCGTTAACCTTTGGTATACGTGCCACCTGCTGGGGTGTCTCCTTATGCCCGTGCGGCCGCTCTGCCACCGTGGGTTTCGAAGGAGCATGTCGAGGTTGGATTGGTGTTCCACTGGGCAATTTGTTAACTGACGTAGAAGTCTCCTGTTGCATAGGGCCGACTACGGGTCCGTTGGGTAGGTGCAACCTTTACTCAGCTAAGATATCTAGGTGCTAATTACTAAAGCAAAGTATTTATACCCTCAGGTCCTGAAAAAATAGTTTTTATTTCCCGGAGCATCCCCCAAATGTAGTACACTGCGTTCTTCGCAGCGTCTACGACGCTGCACTGCTCACAAATCGGGCGTTCAAAGAAATATTCTCTACCACCGACGCATCGGTCGCGTAACGTCTACAAATGTATTAAAAAGATCTTTTTGTTTCGTCTTCTCAAAACTATATTTGCATGAAAGCCATTTCTTCTTCTTGCTGTGCTGGTCCGGTGAGGATGTGACGCGCACGTGTGCCGGCGTTGTCGGCAGACCAATCTTAGGGCATTCGCAGGCATTTTTAGTCTATACATGTTAATCAATTGCATTTGCATTTCACTAGTGAGAGGTTAAAGCACTCACTGCGCGTGTCAGTCTCTTAACCGCTTATAGGTCATCAGTCAGCTATCCTCTATAGGTCACCAGCAAGACCCATTGTAGTGCCTGCGTAATACACGGACTGTGACGTACGGACTGTCCCCTGGCATAACATTAGTTATAGGTACCACCTGTGGGGACGCCTCCTTATGCCCGTGCGGCCGCTCTGCCACGGTGGGTTTCGTGGGAGCATGAGGATGATGGGCCGGTGTCCCGCTGGGCATCTTGCTTACTGACATTGTAGGAGTTTTCTGCTTTGTGGGGCTGATAACGCGCCCGTTGCGTAGATGCAGGTCTTACCGAGTTAAGCTGTCGGGGTGTGAATCATTTAGACAAAGTGTTTCTATCCTCAGATCGGGGAAAATGTTTCACTTCCGGAACAGTCCCCAAATGTAGTGCGCAGGATTCTCTGCTGCTATTACGGTGCTATTTGGCCCAAGAATAGGGCGCCCTTCTGACAGATCCTCTACATTCGACTCATACCTCATACAACCACACCAAATAATCAACAAACCGTCATCTTTCAAGTTTCTAAATCCAACTTCAGTAGAATTCGCGCCATCATAATTCTTGCTTCATCGGCCCGGTTGGGACGGTGGCCGGCTCCGGTACCGGCGTTAGCGCCAGCCCCAATGTTACGGTATTTACACACACTTCTAATTTCCACATGCTATCTTTCTTATAAATTGCCATAATTCGTTACTATTAAGAAGTTCTTGCGCTAGTTCTGCGTGCTCACTACTTATTGATCACCGGCTAGCTACCCTGGCTGGTTAGCTGCGAGCGCTATTGTTGTAGTGCCTGCGCACTGCAGGTTGCACGCCAACGGGGTGTCGGCGTACACGTAGACTTTGCGCTCGCTCTGTACTCTGCCTGGCTCCCCGAGCAGTGTAACCCTGCTTTTGAATTTGTTCGCGAACACTAACGAGGCGGCCGCTATTGGGGAGTTACCGCATCGTCAAAGCGGCTTCTGGGAGCATTCGGAGTAGAATACAGGTAGCTTCGAGATGATGCACCCGCAACTACTTTTGTGGCTGTGCCACCGCCTTTTGAGGGCAGTGCTGTACCCTGATGGATTCGTTTTTGTACGACTTGAACAAACCCTTGATCTCAGCTTTCGGTTGGTCTTCTTGGAGGCTCACAGCGGATGTGCAGGGCGCTCGCTCTATAACCATCTCTGGTGAGGGTTGTCTCGTTGCTTCAATGACCTGTCTGTTACGCAGGCTCTAATCCGGCTCGTTTCATGACATGCCAAAGCAAAGTCTTACCGGAGAAGCGTAACATTGGCCGTAGGGCCTGAAGTTTGAAGGTACAGTTCACTACAATTAAGGTGCCTAGAGTACATAGCTGTGGAGAAGGGAAACTCGTTGATTCAAGGGGAGCGGTCTCTGTTACGGTGAAGGAAAAGCCGAAAGTCTCGAGGCCCTGTTTTCAGGCGGAAGGCGGCCAAGCAGTATCCACAAAAGTAGGTGGATGAAAAAATGCTTCACTCACTCAAACGCGCGCCGAGTACGGGACGCTAAAGATATTCCCTTGCAAATCGATATGAGCTTGAGCCACGTGCAGCAAAGACTGCACTAAGGATGCCTACGCACTTCGTGCTAATGGCTGCAAGGGGACGTACCCGAGATTAATTTCTTGCTGGATCGCTTAATTGGATGGCGCCATGCTTTCCCTTGTCTTGGCCTTCCAAAGTGTCTTTCACGCCCTGGAGACCACAATAAACAGTACGGGTGAACACTTGTAGAGTGTAGAACTACGGAGCTCTCTCTCAAGTGAAGGACTCTTGGGCTTCTTCTGCTCGTGCGCTGGTAGGGGGAGGGGAACGAAAGGGTGTAGAGCTCATTCAAGCCGTAACATCATCTAATTAAGTGGCTTGGCCGCTCGTTCTGAGTATCGATGTCTTCATTTTACCTGAAGGCTAATTTTGTGTAGCTACAGAACACCTTTCGTATTTCCGTCGATACCAGGTTGGTAACAAGCCCCTAGAGATATTGTACACGATGCTAGTTTGGGCACTTGAAACACTGACGCATGAGCCAATTCCTTACGGAATGAGTTTGCCGACGTTTGCTGTCAAGACAGACTTCGCACTTGTTGATTTACTCTTAACGATGCACTGTTGACTCGCCTTGCGTGTCGGGTTGGCTTAGTGCCATAGCACTTCACAAAGGGGCGCGCCTTCAGGATGAGTCTAGCCATCCTAGCGCTTTTAACGCACTCGGTCATGCTGCATTACTTTTGGTACCTAGCAATATTCCTACGCCACAACGGAGTAATGCCGAATTAGTTGTAGTGTTCAAAGCTATAAACAGCGGTAGCCCAGTTGCGTGAATCGCGGCTTTTCTGTGGTTACTTCCCTTGAGCTAGCACTGTAATGCGGAAGCTGACTCTGAATTGCACCGTGGTTCGGTGTACCGCTTGCTTGAGGAATGCGAAATATTCATGCAACCAAATGCGTCTCCTTGTGCCGGATATTGAC